CCACGTTATATTAAATATTGATTCAAATTGATAACGTGGTTTATCAGTACGTGGATCACTTTTACCTCAATTTACAACTTTCAACTTCAACACGCGATTTATCAACAATCTACAATGCAATCGAACAATAAAGAAGGTCGAATACTTTTAGCTATTGAAGCTATTCAAAAAGACAAAAAATTAAGCTATCGAAAAGCTTCTAAGCTATACAATATACCATATACAACACTTATCCACAGAATGAACGGTTCTATTTCTTATACAGAATATTGATCAAAAAATCATAATATTACAAAAATGAAAGAGGAAGTACTTATTCAATATATTATTGATATAGATAATCGAGGGTTTGCATCTAAATTAAGTAGTATAGAAGATATGGCGAATTATATTCTTGAATCGAGAAATATAAAAAAGGTTGAAAAACTCTGGGCTTATCGATTTGTAAAGCGTTATATGGAATTAAAGATATATTTCAATTGTGTTTATGATTTTCAAAGAGCTTTTTGTGAAAATCCTAAGCTTATTGAAAACTGGTTTCGATTAGTATCGAATATGTGGGTCAAATATGGTATTCAGGATTGCGATTTTTACAATTTCGACGAAACCGGTTTTATAATAGATATAATATACCCTGGAATGGTTGTAACTGATGTTGAACAGTATGGCAGAAGCAAAGCAATATAACCAGGCAATCGAGAATGGGCTATAGCGATTATATATAGTAATGGAAGGAATGAAATTATACCTCCATTTTTAGTGATGCAAGGATAATATCATCTTTCTAATTGGTATACTGAAACCGATCTGCCAGCAAATTGGATTATTAAATCTATTAGCAATGGATAAACGAATAATGAGATGGGTTTAGAATGGATAAAGTATTTCGATAAATATACAATTTATCGAAGAATAGGCAAATATCGAATACTAGTATTGGATAGGCATAAAAGTCATAAATCGATATCTTTTCAATTATATTGTATAGAAAATGATATTATATGCCTCAAATTACTATTGCATTCAAGTCATTTAACTCAGCCATTGGATATTGGATGCTTTAGTGTATTGAAACAATTATATAGTTCTCAGATTGAAGGATTTATCAAGGTTTATATCAATCATATCTCAAAGGTTGAATTCTTTATAGTTTTCAAAACTGTATATCAACAATCGATTACAATTCAGAATATGAAAGCTAGCTTTCAAAGAGCAGGACTAATACTATTTGACCCTCAAGCCATGTTTTCGAAATTAGATATTCGAATTCATACGCCTAGCCCTTTATCCACTCTCTCGGAACCTGTCGATTCTTGGGTTTTTCAAACACCTCATAATCCAACTGAAGCTTTTTCACAATCGATTTTAGTCAAATCTCGAATATCTTGTTATCAATCAAGCTCTCCTATACTTATATTCGAAACTGTATTAGCTTTAGCTAAAGATACAAAAAGATTAGCACATGAGAATACACTTTTAAGTGTAGAAATCTGTATACTTCGGAAGGCAAATGAGGCATTAAGCAAACATTGATATACAAAAAAGATTCAATTATATCAAGAAGAAATACTTACTAAACAAGAGACTATAAATATATTATTTTAGCAAAAGATTAATATTCAGATTCAATACGATAAGCATCAAAATAAAGCGAATTCTAATGGGGAAGCATCTTCTAGTAGATGCTATAGTAAGTGTGGAAAACCAGGTCATAATTCAAGAACTTGTTTTAGTAATGTAATAGATCCTAGATTATTAGATTCCTAATAGTTTCAATCAATTGATTCAATTGTTGTTGAATAATATGGTTTTGAAGTTGTAAATTGAGGTAAAAGTGATCCATGTACTGATATGATCCACGTACTGATAAACCACGTTATATGATATGATTTACTTATATATATCTGATGGAACGTAGTGAAGCACTTTACCACTAGGCCAACAACCCCAAAAGGGACTAGAATAGATTGGGAAATCTATTCGTGCTTGACTATATATATTATGATTCGTCACAATATCTCTAAACGCTAACTCTAAATACTAAATACTAAATACTAAATACTATAAATAACTATTCTTAGTCTAATCGTTACTAATCCCAAAGCAAAGCCCCCAAGGCCGGGGTACAGCTTGCAGGTAGAGGCGGAGGCTCAATTCCTTGTACACATTACTCGAGTATACAGTTATGATATGCTGTGCGGATATGTCATGATATGATTTGATATGATATGATATGACTTCTGCGAGTATATGTAGTGTAAGGTAAGAAAGATTGAGTATGGTATGATATGATGTGGTATGGTATGATATGATATGATGTGGTATGAGTGCGGTGTTGTATAGGTGTAGTGTTGTATTTGGAGGTGTGAGCGTGAGGCGTGAGGCGTTGGTTATGATGAATGAAAGAAGGAAGGAAGAAAGAAATGTTTGTGTTATCCTAATCTAGTTGTTAACCTTAACTCTTTACAACGGAGGTTTACGAGATAGAGGTTTATGAGATGAGGAAATCTTAGAGTGGGTTCCAGTGTTCTACTTCTTTCAGCTTCTCCTCTCTTCTCCTGTAAGATAGGAAAGGATAGGAGAGGTTTGATGGTGTCCAAGATAAGAGTATAAGTAAGTGAATAAGTACTGTAATATAAACCTCAAAAAAAACAAGAAAGGGAAAAAGAAAGCCGTAAGCAGAGCCACCTCGTGGCATGAAATGAAATGGCTTTGGTGTGACTTGCATTTAGCCTTTTGAGGTGAGGTGTGGTTACTTTGGTTTGGGGGCTGTGAATGTGATGTGATGTGATTGGTGGGGGGGGTGGGGTAGGAATTGGATGGTTGAAGTACGAGGAAGTGGAAGTGGGAAGTGGAAGTGGAAGTGGAAATGGTTGGTTGAGGAGCAACTTGAGGTTGAGATGGGAAAGGAAATGGAAAGGGGGAAGGTAATTGGTGATTGATTGGTGGTAGATAAGATATTATTTGTACCCGAGTATTTGGCGAGGGATCTGGGGTTGAGGATTTAGGAGTGGATGACATTCTTCCATTATTCTAATTGTTGTTCCCAACGACAAGCAGCACGAGACGAGGAAACCCGAGAATGAATAGGAGGAACAAGGAGTTAGGAGTGGGTGTAAATGGTATGATTTCTTGTTACTTTTCTTGGTGGTAAGGTTACTTGGTTATCTGGGTAAAAGTGTGGTGTGATCGGATACATAGAATATACTCGAGTATATACTCTATATTGATTAAAATAAATATACATATAAGAATCATAGGGTAAATCGGAAAAAGCTCTTGAATGACTAATCAGCAAGAGCAATACAAAAAAAGAAAGAAGAAACAAATTATTTATTGCTATTAAAAAGAAACCCAATGTATTAGAAGTCAGAAGCAGTATGCCCTCCACTAACTCTAAAGAACCCACAATCGCTAACTACAATCTTTCAATCAAAGGGTTCTCGGGTATCTATAACCTAATCTCGATATCGATGAACCGTTTTTCAAGAGCTGCTTCATCTTCATTGTGGTGAATGATACAACAACTGTCGGTCTTTTTGCTAGCCTCGGTAGTATCTTGACGTTGAAGGGTGTGTAGAAAGTTGTTTTCTGAGCCCATGCCACAAGAAGCTGTGATAGTACGTTGCGAGATCTTTTCGGATATAATTCTAGGTTGATCCCTTAACGGTATCAGTGACAGCGGGTCTTGCCAAGAGTGTTGGCGAGGACGGTTGATTGGATTTGGAGTCCTTGCAGTAGCTCATGACGACTGTATTGTCACGACATACACATTGACTGTTTGGTAGGCGGTAGACTTCTCAATTTTGGAAGTCACAGGCCCTTGACTTGATATTGTGAGCTATGGAAACAATCTTCCTGCAATTCTCCACTGCACAGTGCTGTCCACGAAATTCCAGTGATTCCATTCTAACGTATCCTGTATCGTTCCTAAGCTGCATCTAGATCTTCAAAGATTCTAAATGATGAGCCAAGCCCACCATTCATGAACTTTTCATCGTCGCCAGATGTGCAACCCCCTTCACATTTCTTCGAAGCTCATTCCGTAACTTCTGCGATGGAAGCCCTCCCCATCTCCACTCTCTCCTCAGGTGTCGCAGCTTGCCAGATTGCAGAGACTCTGCTGCAATCTTGGGTGCCGCCGGGGGCGAGGCGTTCCTCAACTTGTTCAGCCAATGCGACTCGTTCCGAGCGTCAGAGCTCCGTCATCTAACGATCTTGGTTTATCACACATCAAGCGCCCTTCATCAACCAATCTTAAGATGATCAGGACCTCAGGTGGTGAAAACTGACTGGATTGGTGATTACCTGTGTTCGCCGTAGAGGTAAGATCGGCGGTGGCGGCGGCGGCGGCTGCGCAACGGGTACCAGAGGGGCGGGTTATTGGAAATCTGGATGGGTACCATTGAAGACGTCAAACCATTGTCACTTCTGCTGGCCCTCTTCTATCTCACAGCAGTGTGAGATCCATCAGCTCCAACTCGTAGATCAACTGGGTGCTTGAAGAAAGTTTGATAAGCTCACGCCAGCGGCCAGTCAGGAAGTATGCCTAGCGATAGCAATCCAAGTGGTCAGATCGAGTTCTCTTGTTGACTTGGCTTTCTTAAGAAAGCTGTCGAAGTTATTGAGATACAGAAACAGAATCGAAATGGTGTGAAGAAGCTGTAAAGCATAACAAAAGTTACTGTGCTGTGTGCATGAAGGTGGTGGAAGGAGGTCGAGGTATTTGAAAGCTCTGAATCCAGGGTCCATTCCCGCAGACAACAATATGTGGAAACAGATTCTTGAGATATCAACCAATTGTTGATGGTGTATGAAGAATGCTGGCTTGAAGTTAGGTGCAGGTAAAATCATACACATCAGTATAATGAGTTTTGCTGGTAGGGAGTCCCCAAGATCGAAGACCCCACAGTCAATATGACTGTTGTTTGTCCCATCGAAAGGCAAAACAGTCTTTTGATGATCAACATCTGGGATGAATGAAGATCAGTAGTTTACCCCTTCACATTTCGGCTAGTGAAATTCATTATAAATGAGCTGAAAGAAAAATTTCAAGACTTCAAAATGGTCCCAAGCAAAGTTATAATGAAAGGTGTTGTTGATCGTTGACTGAGAAACACAAATTGTCAAAATATCTGAGTCTTTTGGTAGCATGAAAATCTGTCGGGCTAGAGCCCTGTCGCTTAATATGACAAAAGAGGTACCAATCCAAAAGTGGTAAAGTGGACTTCGGAGATTAGACTTGTTTCCTGAACTTGTTTGTTATTTCGGAATCTAGATGGAGGTCTCTCTCATCTTCAGAAGCATCAAATTCAACAAAACAATCAAGAATATATACGAAACCAGATAATTCATGGAAATTTCGTCACTGAGAAGTAAGTAATACCCTTGCTTTCAATTACACATGAATTCCATTTCAATCTTTGCTCTTCACAAAGTGTGTACATACAGAATCCTTGCTGCAGATCTGTTGTGTCCTCCGATCAATCGCTCCTATTCTACTCCACCACTGCAGTATCAACATCACTATACAAGTGTATATTGTACTCGAACAACAGTCTTCTCATTCATTTTGGATCACATCTTTGCTTCCTCAAAAATAAATGCTTTTGCTAATTTATTGTTCTTCTCTGATTTCACAGAGAGCTTTTCGAAGGAATGACTTCATTCAATCTCCAACAGATCTTCACATTGAGGAAAGAAGACAAGGTCATCAACTGACTGTCCCTACCAATCCATTATGTATGTCTCATCACTTGCCTATTAATTCCTGTTGTCAATATCCTTCGCTGCAGACTTTACAATTATATTAAAGCAGAATGGAAATACTGACTTCTGTTATCTGATATAGGCATACAAAGCTGGACTTCATAGCCATCAATCATTATTGTCTTAAGAATAGAAAGTCTGCTCACATATTTGTGTGACAGGTGTATTTTTCTCAAGCCTCAGTAAACTGGAGTGTTTGGTCAAAGAAGCTATGGAAGTCTTGATGGTATGCACTAGCACATTACTACTCCCGATCTGTCAACTTCTCAATCATTGTCTATGTTAGATAACTAACAGTACTTAGAAAGATTGAACGGGGATTACCACAACAAAAACTACAAGTATGCTCTCCTCCTGCTTGACAAGCAAGGACACCAGACTACTTCCTTCGGTTTTCCAGAAGTACATTACTCATTACTAGGGGTATGTACATGCATGAAGACCTTTGTTTATTCAATAAGATCGAAAGGTGCCATCTAAGCGATGATATATGCCGACATCCCATCAATATGGTGCTACACCAGTTTATGGACACACTCCAAATAACTCATTGGGATCAGAAATTGATCCTCTCATGGTTTTAGCTCTTTGGCTTCCAGCTTCAGCAAACTTCTTCTACTCCATGACTCACCACGAATAAATCTTTTTCTTCCCTTTCACGGTCCCGTTCACACCAGGCAACATGGCCCCAAACAATCCGCTTCTACTCAAGATTACAAGATCACATCTTTTCGCAAGCTGCTTGGTCACAGAGCCCTCCTCGGTACACTTGCTCTAGAGTATTTTTCAGCCGTTACACTGCCACCGCAAAGGTTTTGGAATATGGTCACATTGATATACACCAACCTTGCTGAGTAGTTTTTAGCTCACGTCCGGTATATTGCCCGAGTAAGTCGGTCTCCTTCAAAATGTGGTACTATACAACTTAGACACCGACTAAAAAAGCTCCCAGACTCAAGCACCTGTCTGCAAAGACTGCGCCCTTGTACCTCGACATGAGAGCTTCGCCTCAAGACCCGGAAAATTACGCACAGAATGCCGCACCAAGAGATATCCTTTGATAAACGGGAAGTCCTCAGAAAGCTTCAAAGTCATGTGCATTTATTCGACTTCCTCTTGAAGCTGATCAAGCGGTATTTAGCGAAGGTTTCAATCGGCAAGCATCCACATCTGCTGGATTAGTAAAGAGAGTCTATGAAGGAATCTTGGTGAGCCAGACAGTGGTCTGAATCTTTGCCCGCGAAGAACTCGGATCAAATGAAAGTAAATGACTTCAACATGACCCCACCACCACTCATCGTCGCACTCAAAACGACTCAGGAGTCAACGAGCCTATATATTGGTCGGAAATGAAATACTCACAAACAAGGAACTTCAATGGTCACATAATCCGGACAATGGTAGCCGTGGCATTGATGGCAAGCGAAGGACTGACTCTACAACCTTATGGGAGGTCGTAACAGCAACATGCATTCTTGTGTGTACAGCGGTACTTCGACTAGATTGGCAACGCCAAGATTTGGAGAGAGAATCCAAGTTACCGTTCTAGGACAGGGTATGCCGCCTCCATCTCCACCCCGGTAAGACTATTACCAGATCGGTACAACATGGCTATGTTGGTCCTCTGGTCGGGTTTCCAAGTGGCCGAGAGATATACCTAAGTACCCTTTAAACAGACCACCTAGCACCAACGAAATCAGTCTCTTCGAGTCCATCATACACTTTGACTAGAATGGATATTTCAGAAATGAAAGGGGAGCGGGGATAAGGAATCTGCCCCTAACCAAAATGGGGTTCACCGGGCTAATTGAAAAGGTCAAAGCAAAAGGTCACCAAACCCACCGCGCCAAACTTTCATCTAATTATCACTTTAAACCAATTGCCGCAAAGAACTGCCCCGGTTTCTCACAGACGCTCTTTACACCCTTTATTTGAGGAAGCTGGCGGACTCGAATGTCCACAATAATCACTACCCACCTAAAACTGGCATGTGACAGATCTTCCTTGTAGAGGACAAGAAAAACAACAACAATCCAATAACGAGCAAAAGAAGCGAGGGCCGACGTCGTCGCGTCGGTCCTCGAGTCGAAATTTGCTCGACGAAAATCATCCTTGCCTGATTCACCAGAGAATAAAACTCTTCAACCTCTAACGCTCACGACGGAGATGAGACAGTCCTTTACTAGGCGTTTACCTAGGCCCCTGCCTCTCGCCAATTTGAGCGACAAAACCTTGATTTACACCAGTAACATGGCTCGACTCGACCATATTGCTGGTTCTAATGAGTCAGAGATCGAAACAAGGGAGTCACCAAATGGTGACGATGATATGCTGCTCTCTTCTTTTCTTACATACTTTGTTTGTATATCCAAAAGATACTGCTGGTCCCTCTTGACCCCATCACCTCTCACTACCTTCTAAGCTGCCACACTTGGGCTCGTTAGGCCGTCAAAGAAGTCTTTACCGTTACTGAGGACGGAGCTTCCGTGGACGTTGACGCTATTCGGACTTTGACTCACGAAATTATCGCAAAAGAAGTTGTCAATGAGTCTAAGGAAATAGACTGTTTTTGGTACAAGTAATACTGAGTACCTCCCCAACCGCAACATTGTTGAAGCAGAAACCAACAAAAACTCCAGCAGGCAACAATCTTCCACAAATTATCCCTCTAGAAGTTCCTACGGCTGTACTTACCACCCAGACACCCAGATATCATACGACAGGCCGGGTAGTATCATAACGTTGAAGACTTCAAGTGTCTTTTTTCTCCTTGTTCAATCACGGCACTCTTACAAATCATTGTAACTGCGTTAACTTACAATACAATGCCATTCAACGCACAGAATTTCGTGGTGTATATCCCTTGTTTTAATACCAGATACACACCTCATCATCTTCAATTGTTACTTCTGCACGTCTATTCAGCCATATTCAGGACAGATTCGGCAAATTACTCTCATCTTCAGGCAGATAGAAATCTCTCAAAGGCAGATGCAGGACCAGATTCGTGGAGTTCTCAGCTACAAAGCTCGGTATTGAGATTTGGGAGCAGTGGGATGATGGACCCAGTCTCAGTAATATGACCAAGGAACAGAATCAAGACGCCGAGGAAGGAGATGCAAATTTCAAGGATAATCTCTTTCCTTGAAGTATTGATAGCACCGGACAAACCAGACCGAAAAGTCAGTAAACTGCCGACTTCATTCTCCAGAGAGCCAAATTCTTGGTCCCTCGATGTGGTGTAGAGGACACGATTTGCTAATCGGAGGAGAGAGAATCACTATGGCAGATTTGGTAGAAACTTGTGTCGAAAGGCTGTTTGACAGCAGCTTCAGAGACTGAGGAAACGGGAAGTTCCTCAAATCAACGAGCCATCTCTTACCACATCATAATGAACCCATTCCCACCTTCATCGGAGGGAATGGGTTACCTTACTCCCATGTTCGAGATGTTTTGCCAAGACATCGGGTCTGGGTACCATGTTTTGACAAAACATCTCGATCGTGGGAGTAACGCTTTCTTGCACACCGGTGAACCGGCTGCGGATTCATGCGGGGTGTATGATTTGGGTATCTCAAGGAAGAAATTCTGCCAAATCTGAAGGGTGGAATACCCGAAACTGAAAAAGATCACCCAGAGGTCCAGAGATTCAGTTTCGGGTATTCCACCCTTCATGTTTGATAATATTTCTTTCTTGAAAGATTCCAAGATCAATTATTCAGAGAAGGTTGGAAGTGTCGAAAAACAAGATGTAAAGTCTACAGAAAGGTCAAAGAAAGCACCATAGGTCAAAAACACTGGAAAGGGCCTTAAGAGCCGAATCTCTGGAATGATTCAGACTCGTCGTACTTCAGAGTCTGTTGGTATCATGGGTATCAAAGAGTAGATACCGAGATCAAGCGACAGAAGGCTGAAGCCACCACCAGCTGGCCGACCGAGATTAAAAAAGACGGCCCATAGATGCAGAGCGAGTCTGCGAAGACTCCTCGCATTGCACAATTGTGCAAGACTCGTGTTTGGGCCTACGACAGAAAGCACTGGGGCAGGCGCATCCCACAAGCTCGCTAGCGCAGCTATCTAGTTGCTGCTGCCCCTCCTGCTTCAGGGCTCGCGAAGTCGGTCTCAAATATTACACACAGAAGAGCTTGAAGATATCTCCAGTCCATCACGGTCGGCAAGTTGATCTTGCAAACGTCAACTTGTCTTTCTTCCATCTCTATGCCATCGAGGTATACTTTTGGGTCATGCACAACGCATGACCGAAAATTCAAGGGAAATTTTGTACCTCGATGGCATAGAGATGGAAGAATGACAAGTTGCACAGAGGCAAGCCACGTCCTCTGTTGCAAAGAGAGGACGCGACAGAGCAACTGGCTACTCGAGAACTAGATGATTTAATGGAGGAGCAACTGGCTACCCGAGAACTAAATGAAGCACTGAATCAACAGACAGTGGTCGGGTAATACCAATGTCCAACCCAGGAAGGAAAATACTCCCGAGAGAGATCCAGGGGTAGCACCAACTGGTTATTGAAGGAGAACCTGAGAGCTACCATTCCTCTGAGCCCCGATTATCGCGCCAATACCTGATATGACTTCATTCTTCCAAGGTTCATCCATTCAACGGTTGTCTTACACTCCTCCCTGAGACACAGGCTAGGAAAAGTGTAAGGCATAGACCGTCGAATCCTCTTCCCAAGAGTCGCAAATGAATCTAGAAGGTTGCTGAGCAGCGTGACAAGGACAGCAGCCGGAGGAAAGTAGCGCGCGATAGTGGAGTCTCCGTTTTTCCTCCATTCCATTGTTCACTCATGTACTCCCTAGAGAAAATTACAGTGGAAGCCGAGTCGTTGACATTACAGAAGGATAACATGGTTGACAGAGTTGAGGAGGAAGAGGTCTTATCACTCTCTTTCATCGAAAACTTCACCCCTCCCCCTACCCTCGGTCTTTACCAATTAAAAAAGTTTCTTGGTTGTCTTTCCTTTATATTTATCGTTGAAGGAGTGTTGGCTAAGTTCTTTCAAAGAGCTCAAGCGATGCGACCTTCAACGCTTAACCCCTCAACGCTTAAACCTCGATTCAGATTTGGTGGCATGGTAGATGGTTGCTGCAGCTGAAGCTGGCAGGAAACTTGGAAATGACGAGGATGTATTTACTGTTGAAGAAACGGGAACAAATTGAAACATTAAATGGAGTGGCTCTGGATGAGGGCAAGTTGATGGGGATGGGGATGGGTTGATTGCGATATTGGGGTTTGAACAATCTTCGACTTGGAATAGTGTGGAGGTTGAACAAATTGAGGAATTGAATACTACGACTTTGGCGAGGATGGATGAGGTGATTAGAATGTTATATTTTCAACTACTTGAGTAATTTGATCTCGTTGTTCTTAAACTGTACTTTTGTAATGCTCCTGCCATGCTCCCACTGAAATCTTATTATGCTCTCGCTGCACACTTTAATAAACCCAGCCTATCAATTAATAAAAGTAAAATAAAGAAGTATTAATGCCTTGCACTTCTAAAACACTTATTCCCATATCTGTAATATAACTCCTAACAGTATAGATACAGTATTCTTGTACAAGTATCTTTTGTATATATCCCGCCCACTCGAATATATATTGACGATTTTTATATTTAAGACCATGATAAACATTTTAAAACTCATACAGAAAACAAACAACAGTTCGTAAGACCATCTGTCTAATAATTTAATCAATAATACTCAAAACCAGCCAAGAAAAACTGAAGCAAATTTTTTTTTCTATATCCTAACCTTACCGAGCACATATTAACAAATTCCATATTCAAGACCGTGACAAATATTCGCAAACTCACGATGAAATCAAATAAATCATAGATTGTCAAAACGTCTAGCGAACCACCGGCCAGTCTGATGTTCTGGGAAACCTATCATGAAATCCGGACAAATTACCGGTATGGCTTTGTGGAACACCTACTTGGACTAACACCATTATCGTTCGACAACTTATCTTATCTTGTAAAGGAAGATAATCCGGGGTTGAGTTGTTGATGCGGAGTGAGATGAGATAAGATAAGATGAGATAAGATAAGATAAGATAAGATAAGATAAGATAAGATAAGATAAAGATAAGATAAAGATAAACAAGACAAAGCTAGCTATCCTTTTCTTTTCGCTAGATTTCGGGGATTCGGTGGGATTAGATGAGAGATTGGGTCGTGGAAGATATATTACTCGAGTATATTGTATTATTATAGAGTGTATCATATTTAAAGTTTTAAGATTTGTAAAGTGTTATACGATAAATATTATAATTATAATGAAAGAAAAAGCAAACGAAGAGATAATAACAAGTGAAGAGAATACTTATATATTTCGCATTATAGATATTCGCATTATAAATAAAGATCCTGGATTCCTTAGAGTTTTTTATATATATAGAAACTCGAACTTCTTCTTCTTTTATTGATAAATTACTACTATTATTTGATATATAAAATCGTATCTAGATAACTTTGATTTGATATAACGGATGCCTCCAAATGATTGGGGAAAATTTCCCTAGAGTTTGTGCTACTTTTTAGTAAACAGTACTCAATAATCTTTCTAGATTGTATTGATTGATACAAACTCATTGATGGAATTTTTTCAGTACCGGTAGTCAGTATTCAGCATTTAGTATTCAGTATTCAGTATTCAGTATTCAGTATTCAGTACTCAGTATTAAGCATTTAAAACTCAGTATCAAGTTTTCAGTATTCAACGATTCGTCCTCATCAATATTCGACTCTTTCTGCTCAATCACCTTCTACTCAGTTAACTACCCACTCACTTCATTTCTACACAATTGCTTTCTTCCCAATTCTACATCTTCATCATCATGCTTTACCTTGAAGGTCGAGCTCTCTTCACAGCCATCACATCCATAACCTGTCTCGGATTCCTCCTCATCGGATACGACAATGGATTAATGGGAGGGTACCATATACATCTCCCTCCACCCCAATGAACCCCTCCAAACTAACCCTATATCATACCACAGACTCGTCAATTCCACCGGATTCAAAAACACCTTCGAAAACCCCTCACCCACCATCACCGGCCTCATCGTCGCCATATATGAAATAGGATGTTTCCTCGGAAGCATCGCTACATCCATCTTCGGAGAAGACATAGGAAGGAAGAAATCCATCGAGATAGGAGTACTAATTATGATTACGGGTGCATTGCTACAAGCAACCGCCTACTCAAGAACGCATATCATCATTGCGCGAGTAATATCTGGAATCGGAATGGGCTTTATTAATAGCACGGTTCCAGTATTCCAAGCAGAGTTCAGTCCGAAAGCTACAAGAGGTTTATGTAAGTCCTTATCCTTTAGTTGAAAAAGAACGTGCATATATACGTACGATACTGAGCCGGAGCTGAGTATACCACAGATGTCTGCATGCAACTCTCGACTCTAAATTTCGGTATATTTCTAGCATATTGGATCGATTACGCCTTCACCCAATCATTCAACACATCAATTTCCTGGAGAATCCCCACAATACTACAATGTATATTCCTCCTCCCCATGCTAATACTCCTTTCCATCGTCCCAGAATCTCCGCGCTGGCTCGCTGCTCACTCGAGACCCGACGAATCACTAACGGTCCTCACACGATTACATACTCACCACATGTCCCCCGACGACATATATTCCCTCCACACCACCATCACGCAAGCCTGCGCCTACGAAACCTCACTAGCTACTGGCTCCCGCACCTGGAGCACCCTCTTCCGCCCCGACGCCCTCCACTCCCCCCGCCGATTCCTCCTCGCCTGCGCCATCCAATCTTTCCAACAGCTTAGCGGCATCAACGCACTAATTTACTATTCCCCCACCCTCTTCTCCACCTCTCTAAATTTTTCTCCCCGACTCAGCGCACTCATGTCCGGATTCCTACAGACGTGGTTTTTCCTCGCGAGTTTTATTCCCTGGTTACTCATCGATCGGATCGGTCGTCGTCCGCTGCTTTTATCGATGATTTCCCTTATGGCGGCTGTTATGTTGGTTCAGACGGGTTTGATCTATAATGTGCAGTATAAGACGCCGATTGCGAAGGCGTGTGGGGTGGGGGCTGCGGTTATGCTTTTTGTTTTTGAGGGGGCGTTCACGGTGGGGTTTCAGGCTACGGTGAGTTTTCTTGTTTTTGTTTATTTGTTTCTTCAGTCTCTGTTAGAATTCACCGCGATATATATATAAATACCCCCCCTTTCTCACCCCAACAACAGGTCTGGCTCTATCCCTCCGAAATTCTCCCCCTCCACCTCCGCCACCGCGGCTCCTCCATCTCCACAGCCTGCAATTGGCTCTTCAACTACTTGATTGTGCAGATGACTCCGATTGCGCTACAGAAAATAGGCTATCAGACGTATATTATTTTTGGGCTGTTGAATGCTTGTTGGGTGCCAATTATTTACAGTTTTTTTCCGGAGACGAGGGGGTTGGAATTGGAGGTTTGTGGTTTTTTTTTGGTCTTTTTGGTGGTATGAGAAGAGAGAGCAGAGGAGAAGATGGGTGTAGTGTGGGTGTGGTGTGGTGCTGACAGAATTTCATAATAGGATATCGATAAGCTCTTCACAAGTAACGAACTCTTCACGAGTAACAGCTTCTTTATACGAAGAAACAGAAACAGAGAAAGAAACGACGAAGAAATCCATCCAGAAATCTCTCCAGAAATCCCTCCAGAAGCCCCTATAAACGTGAGTGGTAGCGAAAATACACCCAACTCGAAGCAATTCCAAGACGACATATGCATTGCACAGCCGTGAAGTGAGGAAGCGGAAAGGATTTCTTGATTGGTTGAATGGATGGTCTTTGATTCTGAATTGATTTTTCTCCTTTTATTTTCGCGTATATATCTAACCCGATCGATTGTTCACTTTACGAATTTCAAATGTCAAATTTCAAATTTCAACTTTGAAGTTTGAATTAAAAAGAATCTGAGGTTTTTGCATTCTGAAATCTGAGTCCTGGGTATAATATAATGCTGGTATGTGCTAGGGTAGGGTTATATGGTGATTATACTATAAATAAGACCTTTGGTGTCCATTCAATCATTCACTTTCAAGTTCCACTGCCCTTTCTTTCTCAAACCGATTTTACTCCCCCACCCTGAATTCCCATATGCATCAGATCCCATCGACTAGTCCACTCCACTATCTCTCCTCCATCTCTCCTCCATACCCCTTACCTAATTCCGCACATAAGCGCATCTGAATCTACATCCTAATATCTCTCCTACACACCCGATTGCTGACGACTCCTTGACCAAACCCAGATCCACTATGTATACCGTTAATATCGTAATTCCTCCATCCCTCCCTCCCTCGATCCGAATCAATGAGACGAGAGCCTAGTAAATCTACTGTCCCTTTTCCTTTCTCCCTTCTTTCCTTCTTCCAATTAAATTGACAAAAGTAGAGCATCAAAACCTGTATCTGCATCCGTCTTCAATCCAATCTATCTTTGACTAGGTGACGAATAGACCCGAGTTTGAGTTTAGATTGTATGAGCTTTTGACGTCCATTTGCAACATGATATTGTAATGCAACTGCAACAAATTCCAATTTAAAGCCAGATTTAGATTCAGACTTTCTCAAGTTTCAAAATAATTAGGAAAAGGAAATATCAGAGCGAGCGAGAGAAAGAAGCAGGAGGTACTGGCAAAGGGTAGGCTTCCCGTTTGACTGAATCATACAGATTTGTATGATGAGCTGAGCATTCAGATGCTTGTGAGGAATGTTGATGATGACGATGACCATGGAGATAAGGGGGTTGGGGAGGTAACGGATACGGTATTGATATATTTGGAACTAAGGGACGAGGAAAGGATCTTGTATATTTGACACCTTGGAAAGAACGACGATGGCGAGATGGACGAGGCAAAGGATTTGGTATCGGTGCACCCGGACCGAAAGAACGTGCGAAGAATGTTGTGGGGTTGAAAGGTTGTGATGTTTTTGGTTGAGATCGGATGGGGACTAGTGGGGCCTGTGGATTTGTCGGGTTAGTGTCCACTTCTTGAAAGTAAGACACGGATGAGACGAAAGAGATGAATGGAGTGAAAGGACGTTGAGAACCAAAAATGTACCTAAATTGAAGACCAGGAAGAACTGAAATCTGGGAATGAGAAGATGGAAATAGGGAAGGCTGTAATATGTTTGTAAGAATGGAGGCAGTGGATGCGGGTTAGGACTTTGATTGCGGATTGAGATGAAATAGGGATGAGAGGGAGGGAGGTGAAGAGAGGAGAGATTGGTGTGGAGAACGTACTGTAGTGGTGGGTATGCGTGATAATTGATCGGATCCTCCCTGTCCTTCTTTCTCCCTGGCTGCGATGAGATGGGCGGTAGCTGAGAAATTGGAGAACAGCACGTTGGTAGTGAAAGATGAGGAATCTCTAGAATCTGGTTCTGTTTGATCGGATCTTCCATGTGTTACTGAATCGCCGTCCTTATTTGGTCTCCTACCAGATACATCCGAATTGTTTCCTGACGTATAGGAAACTCTCATTGTATCACTCTCCTTCCCGGAGCTTCTTCGACTTTTATCAGTCATAGACTCGATAATAGACCCGCTTTCTCTTCCAAATCCGCGATCTATTTCCCTTAAAGATTCCGTTAACCTATCATTGACGTTGCCGCTTTCTTTACCGATAATCGTCATGAATGCACGCTCATTGGCAATTCTATTTTCTTGTTCCTCTATGGACTGTAGTAACTGCTTATTCACACTAGAACTTACAGTGCGAGTCCCCGGTGTCTGTCTTTCTCTACCATCAGTGATTGCAGTAGCCGATCCGTGGGTATCCATTCTAGCTGGCACTGTGCTTTGGAAGGAAGAAGACGCTGGAACACCATATGACAATGTTCCAGTGATTGGGTCGTTGCCACCTCGATATTCAGATCCTTGGGATGATGTATATTCGGTATCAGAATCTTGTTGAGTCGTTAAATCAATTGCTGGAAGACTCCAATTATAACTTGGCTGGGAGTCTGGAATTATAGATCTACTGTCTGAACGAGGAAGAATTGGCGTTTGAATTGGTGAATCAGACACATAGGTCAAATCTTGCATATATTCTGACGATATGGTCAATAGATTTTGAGTTATCTCACGAGACTTCCTAGCAGATCGACGCTTGCTTGTCGGCCTGTTTGACTGCAAAGTCTCCTCCGACTTGAACTTGTTCATACTTCCCAATGGACGACCTCTTTTCTTGACAGTAGGAGTTTCCTGTGAATTCAAATTTGGAACTGGTGTTGAAGCTGATGGAGAGCTTGTTGGCGAAGAGTCGATAAGGATGGCAGGAAAATTCTTCGAGGGTCTTCCACGTCTTCGTTTTGGGCCTATAGGGTAAGGGTAAATAACTTCGCCTTCTATCTTCTCTACTTTGCGTTTTCCTAGGCTGGGTAGTAATTGTCTATCGGTTGGAGTTTGTGTGGTAGAAAGCCATGGGCTTGCATGATGATGCCATGCTGGAATTTCGACAACAATAGTATCGTTAACATGCTCTTCTTTGACGTTGCCTCCCTGGCAAAGTCGACAATTCGGCGATGTCTCACCGAAGTTTCTTACCTCAGCTTGTACTGGAGTCGAAAATTGTTCGAGAAATCCTGGAACAGGTCCTGGATGTGGGTTTGGGAATGGTTCTGAGACTGAGAGTGAGGGTGACTCCAATCGGTCAAGAGCAGTGCCCAGAGTTTGACCCGGAGTCTGGGAATCTTCCGTACCATCGTGGCCTACTTGACTAGGCGGAAATTGATTGTCCGTCGTACTTGTAGACAAATCGTTATCGAGATCCGGTCGAGCTCTTGCTCCAAATTTCCTACGAGTGATTCCTGAAGCCTTTCGAGTTTGGCAATGAAGACATGTGGTGGGTGCCGGATTTTCCAGACTCACAAAAAATCCTTCGGGTAATACAATTGGTTTTCGACAGCCATCGCAGTTATAATGACTGCTTGGGATGTTTGCAACGTCGGCATATTCATCTTCCTCGCTGCTTGTGGGCTCTGCGTTGACTGTGTCTCTAATCTCTACAAAGTCGGGATTTGTGTTATCTCTAGAGATAGAGTTTCTTGCTAATTCTCGGCCGTCTGTATCAATAGGAATAGGGCTGCCTAAATCACTAGTATCATCCAGGACAAAATTATTCCTTATACTTTCTGGTACCGCATTAGCTTTGTTAGCTTTCTGCATCAATTCAATGTTTTTCCGAATACTATCAACAAGAGTGTTGAATGCTTCAAATGAGAAGTCTCTGGTGAAATCATTGAGCGGAGATCCAGCTCCGATATTTGCCGATTGATTGTATGGAAATTTAACAGGACCGAAAGCGCGAGCCAGAGCGAGATATTTAGCTGAGATATCATTGGCCAATAGTAATATATCGCTGGTATGTAGATTACCCGCGGGAGTTGCCTTGTTCTTGTTCGCTTCAGGAGTTCCGATCCGGGGGGTTGCACTGAAGGGAGTACTATGGTAGTTTGTTTCACGAGATTTGGCTATACCATTAAGGAGAGTATCGAATGCATTTGAAATGTCCGAACCGGATATCTTTGTTATCGGTGCGTTATTCATCGGAGTATCCAATGCCCCTTCGGTCATCCTGCATGCCAATGCCGATGTTTCCGACCCCTTTTGAACGGTTGCTCTGTTGTCTTTTTGTAGATTTGCGTCATTGTTGGCTGGAGCTTGAATACTTGTTGATTCTTCCATTTCCAAAAATACTGACTTAATACTCTGTTGCTGGGTATCCGGCTGCTCAGGAGCCTCATTATTGTTTTGAAATATCGAGCTGTTCTCTGGGCGAATGGCTGGGTGTAACGCTGATGGATCGTCTTTTTCCCTTCCGTCCATTTCATTAATCTGTCGATTTGATATATTCGTCCAATTTTGGCAACATTGTTGACTCCCTAATGGATGTAATCGATTTCTGTTGAATCGGGGAGCCATCACGTGATCAACACTTTGTCCCTCTCCATTCTCATGTCTTGCGGCGTGGTATTTCTCCCTATCATCGAGGCCTTCATTGTCGCTTTGAACGTCATTGATCATAAAATATGATTCCGCGAGTTCCTTTGCTCCTGAACATTTCATTATCATTTTCGTGATCAATTCCTGAAGCTTGAAATTCCCCGCTCTATCGATCTTTTTCGATAGTGCCTCGAGCGAATTCGCCCGCTTAACACGTTCATGTTTCGTGGTCGGCGAGCGGAGGAAAGGACTTGATTTTGATGCATAATTGGAACTGGATTGTGTAAAGTTTCTGATAAAGGATGGTGCGACAGTTGGTGATGGAATCTCTGGTGTCAGTGGTCTGGTGGCGGCTTGTTGTTCTGCTTGTCTTGCAGCAACTTCCGCTGCCCTTTTCTCAGCTGCTTTGAGTTTTGCTTGCAATAAGCGTTGTTTGAAATCATGTTTAGAAATGACAACGGCGTCGTCGTCCATGTTGACCCGACGCAGGTGGTGGTGTGGTAGCGCGTTAAGATTGAGCTTTTGCTTTTGCGTTTACCCGTATATCGTTTACAACCAGGTTCAGGATTGTTTTCCCCCTCTCTTGCATCTCAACATTGCAAAGGTGAAATTGGACGAATCGCACTTTTTAAATAAATTGATGATTGAATTCGCTTCCCAGTATTGATTGCTATTGATTTGTTGTATTGAGGTAGGTCGGTTTGTTATCCTAAATCCTATTGAAGATTATACTATATAGAGATTAAAGTCTCAATAAAGGCATCCCTGCAAGACCGAGAGACCGATAATAATCAATTAGCAAAACTGTTTCAAGTATGACTATTCACAGGGTAGATGGGAAGCTTGTAGGGTAGAATCATAAGGTCTAGATAAATTGTATTTTCACTAAGAAATAAAGGAATCTATAAAGAAAGGAACTCTAAGTAAACCAAAGTTTCTGCTATCCCTGAATAGGATTAGCTCCCCCTGGTCATATACACCACAAGAATCATTCCTTCAACACTCCCCCTTAGAACCAATATAATATTATACAATATTTCTTCTATTATAGATTCATTATCTATTCCTATATTTATCTATATTTATCTACATCTATCTATATCTATTTATATTATCACCGCGTAGAGACTAATCCCCTTCCGAGGACTAGTCAGAAAAGCGTAAATGTGAAAGAATATAGAGTATTCTTTTATATCCTTTATTCTTTATTAATTAGTTTATATTGAAATCTATAAAGAACTACTCTTATATCATTATAGCAATAATATAAGTTCAATTCTGTACAAATTATATCTCAACTATAATATTGATATTATTTAATCTATTCTCTATTTATAATCCTTTATTATCACGGGGCTGATACGGGTTCTGGTGGGTACTAGATATAATGTATAATATTCGACAAGGAGAGAAGGAGGTGTGCAGAGCAAATGATAACTATATAGTAAATGGATACCTAAGGTATCCATCTGAGTTAACTAGAAACAGATAATGAACTCATAACAGTACCTTCTCCCTTC